TAGAAGAGGGGAGGAGAGAGGGGAAAACATTGATTGGCTGCCTCTTATACTCTCCGTGATTGGGGATTGAAGCCACAACCCACGTATGTGTCCTAATCAGGAATCAAACCACAACCTTTCAGTGTTTGGGACAATGCTTCAACTAACTGAGCCACATTTGGCCAGGGCCCATTTTTAATTTTTTGAGGAAACTCTGTACTGTTTTCTACAGTAGCTGCACCATTTGTTCTTCATTTGCTCTGTGCTAAAGTGAGGAAAGGCCAATGGGCAGTGAGTGTGTGCTGGTCCAATCCATCCCCTTTGTTCTCAGTGCATCCCAACTTGTGGCACCTTCCTATTAGTGCTCATTCTCAGGCATGACGAAACCCAGTCCCTCAGGCAGACCCTCAAAATGTTAGAATGTTGGCGGTACAATTCAGTCATCTCCTGTGGCAAGATGGTGCCATGAATTTTCCTACCGACTTCAATGCAGCTGGTGTCATACTCAATTGGGTGCAGGAGTCTCTCAAGCGATCTCTGGATTTTTCACAAAGGAAATGGATTCATGTATTGTTGGTGAATTGATGTGTCCATGAGGGGAAGGAAGTCTGAAGCTTCCTATTCTGCCATCTTGCTGACATTACCCTAATCTCCTTTCTTTGAGCAAGGAAACAAGTCATATTGTGTTAAAGCTCCCTCTAATGTCCTTATTTTAACTTAATAACCTTTTTTAAAAATGCTTTCTCCTAGTCTGTTTGACTCAGTGGATAGTGTTACCTGTGGACCAAAGGGTTCCAGTTGGATTCCCATCAAAGACATGAAATCAATGTGTTTTTCTCACATCTCACATCAATGGTTCTCTCTGTCTTTCCCTCTCTCTTCCAATCTCCTTAAAAATCAATGGAAAAATATCCTCGGATTAAGAACAACAAAAGCATAAAACAATGTAAAAACGCTTTGTCTAAGTATAGTCATATTCTGAGGTCATGGGGGTTAGGATTTCAACATGAATTTTGAGGGGATATAATTCAGCCAATAACAATACTACAACATGTATGAATCTCTAAAATATTCTAAGTAAAAGAATTCAGACACAATGGTTATATATTGGAAAATTCTATTTAGATGAAATATCCAGTATAGATAAATCTGTGGAGACAGACAGTAGGTTGGTGTTTGCCAAGATTGGAAGAGGGTGATGGGAAATGACTACCTAATGAGCATGGAGTCTTCTTTGGGGTGATGAAAATGTTTTAGAACTAGATAGAAGGATGAGTGCATATAGCAAACGTACTAAATGCCACTAAATTGTACACCTTAAAATGATTTAATTTATGTTATGTGAATTTCATATATTATATAAGTTTGTAAATTTGATATTAAGTGAAAGTGTGTGTTTATGTGTGCATAAAGAGATAGATCAATGCGGCAAAACAATAATTGCTTAAAGGTACATAGATGTTCCTCAAATTTCCATAGGTCTAAAATATTTCAAGTAAAAAATTTAGAAAAACTAAGGAAAGACTTGATGTTTTAATTATTATTTGTTTATTTATTTTTAGCCGTTTCCATCATTTTAGTTTTATCTCTTTCCCAGGTAAAAGGCGATGGATTGACAGCATAAAAGAGGAAATTAAGTCAATTCTGAGAAATCTAAAAGTGGGTTACTAAAGAAAAAGAGGTGAAATCATATGAGTTTTGTCCTTTTCTCTCTGACTTATTTCACTTAGCATAGTACTCTCCAGATTGGTGTTGTTGCAAATGCCAATATTTAATCTTTTTTATGAATGAGTAGTATTCCAGTGTATATATGTACCACTTCTTCTTTGTTGATTCATCCATCAGTGGACACAGAGGTTGTTTACATATCTTGGCTATTGTAAATAATGCTACAACAAATATAAGGGTATATATATCTTCTTGATTTGGTTTTTTAATATTCCTCAGATACATACTGAGAAGAAAAATAGCAGAATTATGTCAAATTACATACAATGTTAACATTATAACCTATAATGTTATTAACCAATGCTACCTCGATAATCTACACTAATAAAAGACAAACATGCAAATTGACCATACCTTCGCTATGCCTTAAGCCATGCCCACCAGCCAATCAGAGCGACTATATGCAAATTAGCCCAACCAAGATGGCAGCCGGCAGCCACGAAGCTGGAGCAAGCAGGAAGCTTGGTGGCCCAGTGATGGAGGAAGCCAAGCTTCCCGCCTGCCGCGGCCGGCTCTGAGCTCCACTCAAGGCAACAAAGTTTCAATTATAGAAGATAAATAAACCCCAGATACCTGCTTTCAGCCGGCTGTGGCCATGGAGCTGGAGCGAGCAGTAGGCTTGGGTTGCCCCTGGTGATGGAGGAAGCCAAGCTTCTCACCCGCCCTGGCCGGCTCTGAGCTCCACTCAAGGCTACAAAGTTTCAATTATAGAAGGTAAATGAATCCCAGAATAAAAAGGAAAAAGAAAAAAAGGAGAGGCTGGGAGCTTCCGTCGCCGGGGGGCTTAGCCAGCCTGAAAACGGCCCTCAGCCCCTCACCCAGACTGGCCAGAAACCCCAGTGGGGACCCCCCACCCTAAAGGGGGTGTAGCCAGCCTGAAAACAGCCATCAGCCCCTCACCCAGGCTGGCCACACCTCCATGAGGTGAGGGTCCCCACTGGGGGAGGGCTTGACCAGCCTGCAAACAGCCATTAGCCCCTCACCCAGGCTGGCCAGGCACCCCAGGTGTGACCCCCACCTTGAAGGGGCTGTGGCCAGCCTGCAAAAAGCCATCAGCCCCTCACCCAGGCTGTTCAGGAACCCCAGGGGTGACCCCCACTTTGAAGGGGCTGTGGCCAGCCTGCAAACAGCCATCAGCCCCTCACACAGGCTGGCCAGGCACCCCAGGGGTGACCCCCACCTTGAAGGGGCTGTGGCCAGCCTGCAAACAGCCATCAGCCCCTCACACAGGCTGGCCAGGCACTCCTATATAATAAAAAGGTAATATGCAAATTGACCCTAACAGCAGAATGACTAGGAATGACTAGTCACTATGACACACACTGACCACCAGGGGGAAGATGCTCAATGCAGGAGCTGCCCCCTGGTGCTCAGTGCACTCCCACAGAGGGAGCTCTGCTCAGCCACAAGCCAGGCTGATGGCTGCCAGTACAGCGGTGGTGGTGGGAGCCTCTCCCACCTCCTCAGCAGCACTAAGGATGTCCAACTGCAGCTTAGGCCTGCTCCCTGCTGGCAAGTGGACATCCCCTGAGGGCTCCCGGGCTGCCAGAGGGATGTCTGACTGCCAGCTTGGGCCTGATCCCCCAGAGAGTGAGCCTAAGGCAGCAGGTGGACATCCTCCGAGGGGTTCCAGACTTCAAGAGGGCATAGGCCGGGCTGAGGGACCCCCCCATGAGTGCACAAATTTTTGTGCACCGGGCCTCTGTAAATAAATAAGAAAAGAAAAAGATAGGTATATTCCACAGACTGCCTTCTTGGTTAAACTTTTCCCAGCAGAATGCAGTTTTCTGGTGATAATGCTTAAACTGTCTGTATCTCTCAAGATAATATTTTCTGGCACATGATTACACAGAAAAAGTTTATACCTTGAGCTAAATACATGATTTCAAATAAAAACAATGTATAGAAATTGTGCCCCAAGTGAAAACAAAGGAAAGCATGTGTCTCAGATATTGCTGGTGCTGAGAGGTCATCATAACATCACACTCAATGTCAGTCATTCCTTACTATTGTGTGCTCATCCTGAACTTGTTTCCTCAGTACCTCCTACATTTTGCCAAAAGCAAAGATTATTTTCTACAATGAGTCAGTCCTCCAAAAGTTGAGGGAATAAAAAGAAAATCTTGGAAATGTAAGCAATGGAGTAGAAATATGACTTCTTACCAAACAACTGCTAACAACTATGTTTATTTTGCAGTCAATAGGAAGCAATGTTTCAAGTATTTTATATCCTAATGCTAGAGGCCCAGTGCACGAAATTCGTGCATGGGGGTGGGGGGTCCCTCAGCCCGGCCTGAACCCTCTCCAATCCAGGACCCCTTAGGGGATGTCCAACTGCCTCTCGCAATCCGGGACCGCTGGCTCCTAACCGCTTGCTTGCCTGCCTGCCTGATAGCCCAAAACCCCTCTGCCTGCCTGCCTGATCTCCCCTAACCACCTCTGCCTGCCTGATCACCCCTAACCACCTCTGCCTGACTGCCTGATCTCCCCTAATTGCTCTCCTACTGGTCTGATTGCCCCTAACTGCTCCCCTGCTGGCCTGATCACCCCTAACCACCTCTGCCTCGCCCGGCATCCAGGACCCGGGCTTCCCTCCCTCTGGCCAGCCACAGGCTCCCAGGACCCGGGCTGGCTTCACCCAGGCTGGCTGCAGCCACAGGGGACCATGGGAGGGCGGCTGGACCCAGGCTGCAGCTGTAGGCACCCAGGACCACAGGGCGGACAACTTGTCCCTCTCCCGGGCCACAGACGCAGGTGCAGCTGCTGGAGCTCAGGACCATGGGGCAGGCGCCTTGTCCTTCTCCCAGGCCACAGCTTGGCTGGTCCCCATTCCTCTCTCACAAGCTCATTTGTGCCTGGCTGGTCCCTATTCCTCTCTTGTGAGCTCATTTGTGCCTGGCTGGTACCCATTCCTCTCTCCCCATTGTTGAGTGTCCAAGCAGTTCTGGTGTGAAGGCACAAGGGTGCTAGGGCATGAGGGCATGCGGGCATGATGACCATTTGCATATTAGCTCTTTATTATATAAGATGATATTTTATTACTGATACATAAATCTTTAATTGGTTTTGGCTATATTTCAGGAAATTGGTGGTGAGTTATAATACAATCTTTCCCATCCTATATAATAAAAGCTAATATGCTAAGTGTCTGGTCATCCAGTTGGCTGTTCAATCAAAGCATAATATGTTAATGATATGCTAAGTCTGCTCAACTGCTTGCTATGATATGCACTGACCAAAAGGGGGCAGATGCTCCAACTGGTAGGTTAGCTTGCTGCTGAGATCCGTCCTATCAGGACTGAGCGAGCCTGGCTGGACATACCCTGGAGCCCTCCCATGATCCCTCCCTGGCTAACCAACATCCCACATCCCTCTCTGGCCCCAATTATGCACCAGTGGGGTCTGTTGATCTGGTCTTCACCTTCTCACAATCTGAGATCCCTTGGAGGATATTGGACAACTGGGTTTGGCCCAATGGAAGAACAACCGATCGCTATGACACGTACTGACCACCAGGGGGCAGATGCTCAACACAGGAGCTTCCCCCTAGTGGTCAGTGTACTCCCCAGGGGGAGCACCAATCAGCCAGAAGCCAGGCTCACGGCTGGAGAGTGCAGTGGTTGTGGCAGGAGCCTCTCTTGCCTCCGCGGGAGCGCTAAGGATGTACCTCTGGGGAGCAGGCCTAAGCCGTCAGTCAGACATCCTCCAAGGGCTCCTGGACTGTGAAAGGATGCAGGCCGGGCTGAGGGACCACCACCTGAGTGCACAAATTTTGTGCACCGGGCCTCTAGTTTAAAATAATGGACTACAGGGTCAAAATGGACAGTTTTGTGTGCATCTGCTTTTTAGGAATAACTGACATTAAGCAATAAATACCTGAATTGAGAAAATGTTAGTGTGGATAGCATATGGAAATGGCAAAAATATGAATGTGGTATGCAAAAAATTAGTAATTGAGGCACACATCTAGAGTACTAACAATTTCTTTGCCATCTTTTCCTCTTACCCTGTTCTTTATAACAACATACTCAGTCACAAATAACTTTAATCATGGCTTGTTTCATCCATCTACCATCCATTCATCCATCCATCCATCCAACCATCCATCATCTTTGAAGCAAGTCAACATGCCAGGTGTTGAGAATCACCACTGCCCACTTCTCCATATCTTAATTTTTCTTTCCAAATTTCTGCCTGCTCCAGCCCTTTCTGTGCAATACACATTGCTATGTCCATGTGCCTTGGATACCGGTTACACAAAAATGAATATAGCAGGTTCCTTGCCATCAAGGTGCTCATAGTCCATGGCAGTGTTACTCAAAATGTAGTACATGAACTGGTATTGGCCCTTGAGGAAAAAAGAACCTTGAGATAGACTGTAAATCAACAACATCACTAAGCTTTAGTTCAACTGACATTTATTTCATAACAAGATTTTATCAATAAAGGAAGCAGTGTGTTGTGTAACTATCTGGTGCAAGCTCCTGCTCTCCATGCAAACTGTCAACACTGCTCTGAGTACTGGTCTACAGTCTTCTTGCAAAGGAGATTTCATGACAAATGTCAAAACCAATTGATAAGGCCAAGCTGTATGGTTCTGTTAATGTTGAAGAGTGAGACAATGGAGTTGGTCTCAGATATGTTTTGAAAATGCTACCCAGCTGGCTTTGAAGATGGAAGAAGGAACGTGAGCCAGGGGATGCAGGCGGCCAGCAACACTAACAGGCATTAGAAACAGATCCTCCCCTGAGCCTCTAGAAAAACCATAGTCTGCACACCCCTGGATATTAGTGAGACTCATTTCAAGCTTCTGACGGCCACACTGTAATAGTATATGTTTGTTTGTTTCTTTCTTTGTTTCTTTGTCCGTTTGTTTGCTTTAAACATCTAGCATGGGGATACTTACAGCAGCTATAGGATTCTAATAGAGACATTT